TCCCTCTTTTGAGCTACTGCATCCGTAGGTGTAGGTCAAGTTCATCAAATTGTATCAGATTACTCTTTTTTTTTTTTCCTCTTCTTTCTTCTTCTAGTCAAGTTCTGATTATCCAGCCATTGAAGCCAGGTCAAGTGGGTATTATCTGCAAGTGTGGGTGTTCTTATGCATATGCCCTCTCTTCTTATCAGCTGGATGCTTCACTCTCCACTCTAGTTCTCTGTGGCTGTGTCACTGACTCTGGGCCTAGGATTCCCCACGTCTTGCCATACTGCTAGCCAACCAGGTCTCCACCCAGGTTCACAGGAGTCTGTTGAACGTGGTCAGACTTAGCTCACAACTTCATTGCTGTTTTTCCCTCAGTTTCCCTTGTTGGTGACCAACGCGGTCACCAGCCAGACCGCATGTCAGCTCATGTATTCCCCTTGAGTCTTAGTGTTGGAAGGGGTTTTCCCTGAGGGGACCCGACCACTTGCTTTGATGTCTCCTGGGCAAGCACCATGCTTGTTCTTGTAGTAATCAGTCAGACTGCCATTATTGTTTTTATTTTTCCTGTTGGTCTTTCTTTCAAGAAGTATCTTCTGTTTTTCTAGCTGCTCCAGGCTGGTCTGCTTGTCCTTCCAAGTGGAAATTTCCCACCTCAGAAGATTCTGGATGGGGTTCAGGATTCCACCTATGGTCTTATGCAATGCAAAGGCTCTGCAGGAAACCTCCCTTCACTGGCGCGTTGTAGTGGAGCATCTTTTTATGTGTGTAGTGGCCATTGTAATGCTGTCTTTGGGGAAATGTCTCTTGAAGTCCATTGTCTATTTTATGATTAAGTTGTCCTTTTTTGTTGTCAGAGTTTAAATTTTGATTAGATTATTGATGACTATATATGGTTTCTGAAGATATTCTCTCAGTTGGTAGCTTGTCTTTTCACGTTTTGTTTTGTTTTTTTGTTTTTTGGATAAAGTCATTTGATGAACAAACGTTTTTAATTTTCATGGGGTTTCATTTATTTATATTGTCTTTTGCTGTTTGTGCTTTTGCTATTAGATAATCCAATGTTGAAAGTTAGGCCCCTGCATTTCTTCTAAGAATTTTGTGGTTTTAGTTTTTCACATTTAGGACCTTATTTCCTCTCAATTTGTCTCGGAGTATTGTGTAAGTCATGGGTCCTGTTTCATTTTCCTGCACATGGAAATCCAAGTTCCCCAGCGCCACCTATTGAAGAGACTGTTTTCTTCCCGTTGAATGGACTTAGCGCCCTTGTCAAATCGCAGTTGAGCATAGATGTGCGGTTTTATTTCTGATCTCTCAAGTACGTTCCATTGGTCTGTGTATGTATGATTACACCAGTACCAGGCTGTTTGGATTACTGTACCCATATCATATGTTTTAAATTCAGGACATGTAAGTTTTCCTCCTTTGTTTTCTTCTCTTTGAACATGCTTTAGTTACTTGGGGCCTCTTGCCATTCCACATAAAGGCAAAGATTGTTTTTTTTTACTATTTCTGTAAAAACAACAACAAAGGCTGTTGGCATCTTGATCAGGATTGCATTCAGTCTGGAGATCTCTGTGGGTGGTACTGACACCTTAGTGTGTAGAGGGAACAGTTTTACATTTATTTAAGTGTTCTTTAATCTCTTTCAGTTGTGATGGAAAATGTTTTGTTTTGATGCCAGGCCTGTCCACTAGCCTGCTTGTTCTAAGGAAATATTAATTATTTAGCAAGTAATTACGGTATCCTGAATTTCTAAGGAATTTTTACGAATTTAAGTTTTTAAGCCAAATTTTGATAAGTCTAATGGCTATATGAGAAAAAATAAAGTCCATTTAAAGAAACAAATATTTACAGATGAAATTATATGATTTTCTTTAAAGTAATATAAGAAGGAGCAGATAGACATGGAGGTGGACTGAATCTTTCATGGCTTAGAAGAAGGTGTTGGGGCTGGAATGATGATACATAGAGGTTCATTAAACTATTGTGAATACTTTTGTATATATTTGAAATTCTCCATACATTTTAGTTTTCAATCCCAACACTTCTGTGTATTGTTGTGTTTGTTGTTAAGTGCTATTGAGCTGAATCTGACCCATACCTACAGACAAATTCCAAAGTTTCTGAATAACAGCTTAAAGCAGTGTTGTTAATTAAGGTGGCATATAGTACTGAAAAGGTTTTAAATACATATTTATTTGGTTCTAAACATTAGGGAGGAATGTTTATGGACAGAGTATAGGTCATAGTGGTATTGAAAGCACAAAGTTCTGCAGCTCAGCATTCCTATTGGTGTGTTGTTAAGTGTCATTGAGCTGGTTCCGACTCAGCAACCTTGTATAGGGTGTCTGAGGAGCAGCTGATGAGTTTCAAGTGCTGCCCTTGTAGTTCAAAGTCCAGTGCTGACCCTACAGCGCCACACCATTGACCCTGGATAGTGTTTTCGAGACTGGAAATCTTTCCAGTCACAGAAAGCCTCATCTTTCTCCAGTGGAGTGGCTGGTGGCTTTGAACTGCTGACTTTACGGTTAGCAGTCCAGTGTCTGTCTTACAGTACCACTAAGGCTCCTTTTGGTATATTGTTACATTTCAAGAAGATTCCTTCCTTGGAAGTACACCAGCAAGTCTCAAACAGTGCCCAGTAGAAATGCCTGGAAACTGATTTCCAAGATAGTTTCCAGATTCCCACCCAAGAGATTCTGATGAGGAGGCTTACAGTAGTACTGGAATGAACATTTTGGGGAAGGTCACAAGGTAATTTATCAGACATATTAAGTAATTGTCAGATATTCACTTCATTGCACTAACACACACACAAAATAATCTGATGGTGAAACACTTTAATTAAGGTTGTTACAACAACAAAGTGAATTTCAGGTTTTACAGATTGTATTTAAAAGAAAATCTATAGAAACAATACTATTTACAAAACAGTCATCACTGTCACTGACATTTCTGTATACGTGTTTCAAATGAACAAATACAATTGCATCATTAAAAAAAAAAGAACATAAATAGGGTAAATGATGACTACTGGCCCCAAAGACTTCTTAAAACTATTAGACTAGTAAAGGTACTCCTTTGTATGGGTAGGAACACACAGCCAATATTTCCCAGCAAAAGACTGAGACATGTAGAGGGCAAGCTGGAAGAGCCTGAGCAGAAATACTGTTTTGTGTAGCTCGGCTCTTAACCAAAAGGCTGGCAGTTTGAACGCCACCAGCCCCTCTGTGGGAAAAAAACTGTAGCAGTCTACTTCTTATAAAGACTTACAGCTGTGAAGATCCTAATGGGCAGTTCTACTCATCCTACAGGGTCACTGAGTTGGAATCACTTGCTGGCAACAGTTGACATAGTTTAGAGGATATGAATACTGCTGAGTGGAGCAGAGTGGGACATTCGGTACCAAAGGCATCAGCATAGACAGAGCAACTGCCACCACACTGAAAGCATCAGCCAACCCTTCTGCTTGCTTAGAAATATCACCGTTGAGGTTTTCCAGGTAGAGGGAAAAAAAAGGAATGTACACGCATTAAACACCTGTTAGGTGCCAGGTGCTTTGCGTCTCTAAAACAGAGAAGATAGAATTGCTCCTCAGCCCATTACAGGTTTCCCGACTCCATCTTTATAGAGTTATGTCTCCGTGATGTCTACCAGCAACGTTTCATTTGATCATTTCAGCGTAGTTTTATCTGGACCCAAACAACCTATTACAGAGTCCAAAGGATGCTAAGTAAAAAACAGCTCATTTATACATAATTCTGGGGAAAATGAGGAACCACAAAATGTGAATGGGTTGACTAGCTGATGTATTTTACCTTCTCCATTCTGAGGTGGTGGTAGTGTTAAGTGCCATCAAGTCAGTTCTGAGTCATAGCAACCCTGTATAGGGTTCCCAGGGAGTGGCGGGTGAGTTTGAACCACCATACTTGTGGTTAGCAGTCCAGTGCTTCTCCTAACAGCACTATAGCAGGACTCCATTCTGAGGTAGTTGTCACAGTTGATGGTAGAAGACTGACACCTACTATGCAGGCGGGCTGCCATTCTGACACTATGTAAGGAGTTCTTCGCCAATCCAGTTCTTTAGCCGTGATAAGAACTGAGAGACTCTGACCCATTTTTTCACATATCTTACCAATTAGATGAAGTCTATGCCTTCCCATCTATAAGAATTAATTTTACTGCATCAGTGAGCTGCAAATTCTTATCACTTCAAGTCTTAAAATCTGCTTCAGCTGCAAACATCTCTAACTTTTTCATTAAACCCAAAAAATAAATTACACAGATGATTTATGTTCCAGTAATAAATCTTCCATGGGCCTTGTTAAAACCTTAAAGCTTGTTCCCTAACTCTGAAAACATTAAACTAGAAGGAGGTTTTAATGAGGGAGCAGTGGTGGTTTGCCGTCATGGGCGCAGGTTTGATTTCCAGCCAAAGCATTTCATCAGAGCTTCCAGTGAAGACAGGAAGAAAGACCTGGTGATCTACCTCTGAAAATTTAGCCAATGCAAACGCTATGGGTCCATTGTCCTTGTGGTTGTCAAGCTAACTCAGTGGCAGCTAATAACAACAACAGATTTTGACAGAAATATATTTTTACTAAAACCTGAGTTTCTAGGACCACAGCTGCCATGTACAGCAATGTGGGGAGGTAGGGAGAGTAGTTCATGCCTACCACTATGTCAAATGCCAGCTCTGTTGTAAGCAATTCCAGGGGAGTTTGAAACGTTAACAGCAGCCAAGTTAGCATCTTCACATGATCCGCTACTGGGAGACAGTTGCTTGAGGAGAAATACTGAGTGGCTTGGCTCTGGCCTTTGAAACCTTAGCAAGATGTTTAAAAACAAACAAAAACTGCCAGTGAGTTGATTTCCAACTCACAGTGACTAAAAAATCAGGTTGGAACTGCCTCATAGGGTTTCCAAGGTTGTAAGTCTTTATAGAAGCAGATTGCCGCATCTTTCTCCCAGCCACTAACCTTTCAGTGCCAAGTGTTTTAACCACTGTGCCATCAGGGCTTCTCAGCCAGGGATGAGAGTTCTGATCGAATCAGACCTGCAGATGGTGAGAGGTCGCTGGGATTAAGGACTGAGGCGGCCAGCACTGTAATGACACCAGCCAAGCCCCAGCGTGCCAGGTACCTGTGGAGCATGCAATGGATGTGCAGGTTACTCAGAGTGTTTGCCTTGATCTACAAGGTGATTGGGGAGCAGCTGCTGTCTTCATTAGGGGGAGATAGGGGCCAATCCAGAGGCACTGCCATTTGTGTTTTGTACTCCGAACAGGGTGCGGGCATTGGTTGATCAGTTGGGAGACTGTTCTTGTCTTCAGACATGGGAGAAGCTGACTGGGATACATAATTCACACTCATTTCTCCAGCTTGGATTTCTCCCAGGGAGTTCAAGTAGTCTTTCTCTAGGGCCCTTAGAACATTTCCAGGTGAGATGAACAGTCCCAGGTGACTTGGTGGGGTGTTAGGTGTCAGTGGGATATGGCCACCGAAGCCCAGGTCAGAGGCTTCCTGGTTATAGGTAAAGTTCTCAAAACAGATGCACTGCCCTAGGGCGGGTGAGAGAGGCATTTTTGTTTTAAGTGGGGTAAAGTAGGCTGAAGGCTTGGGATGTTCCGTTTCAGTGAGTGACTTCCAAGAGGGCGCCTTGCACTCTGCCGGCATGTTTACAACCTCAATTGTATCTGGAACACAGTCCTTGAGATTCATTATTGTTAGGTGAGCGTTGTGCTGGAAAGGAAACAAGAAAACTGTAAGCATAAATGTGTGTCCATCTAAATTGGTCATGTTTTATCAGGGTCACAAGTTAGCAGAACGTTGTATTGAAAACCAAAGAAAGTTTTCCTGACAGAAGAAATCAATAATGATAATGATAATAATAAAACATGAAATACAACCACCACTCTTCTTTCAGTTTGTCGTACTATGGTGGCTTGCAGGTTGCTGTGATTCTGGAAGCTATGCCACAGCTATTTTAGATGCCAGCAGGGTCACCCATAGTGGACAAATTTTATCTGAGCTTCCAAATGAAAACAAACTAGGAAGAAGAAGAGACAGACTATTTCAAATATTAAGTCACTGAACACCTTATGAGTAGCAGTGGAACACTGTCAGAAAGCCAAAATACTGAATATTGAAACAGGACAAAGAGCACCAGAATATTGTCAGCTATTGTGCCTAAAGATGGGCCCCATAGGTTGGAAGGCACTCAAAATAGAGTTGACAGTGATGACATGAATGGAGTAAAGTTTTCAGGACCTTCATTTGCTAATGGGATAAACTCAAAATGAGGAGAAACTGCTGCAAGCATCTATTAATAATCAGAACATGGAATGTACAAAGTATGAATCTAGGAAAATTGGAAGTTGTCAAAAATAAAATGGAAGGCATAAACACTGATGTCCTAGGCATTAGTGAGCTGAAATGGACTGTTACTGGCCATTTAAACTCTGACAATCATATGGTTTACTATGCCAGAAATGACAAATTGAAGAGAAATGCATCACATTGATCATCAAAAAGAATATTTCAAACATCTATTTGAAGTATAATGCTGTCTGTGACAGGATAATATCCATACACATACAAGGAAGACCAGTTAATACCACTATTATTCAAATTTATGCACCAACCACTAAAGCCAG